ACACCACCATCATCATTATCATTACCTTTACCATTAGCATCATCATCATCATCATCATCATCATTTTTAACTTCGCGACTGTTGATGACGTCATCGTTATCAATATCTTGTGATGAATTTTTCATGGATAGGCTATCGGGGATGGTATTTCGGTGGGAGCGTGATGAAGATTCCCTAATCTTTCCACTTGGTGATAACGATGATGACGACGACGATGGTGACGGTTGTGTTGATAATGGTGATGATGATAATAGTGGTGGTGATGATGTTGGTGACGATGATGATGAGGATGGTGTCGTATTATTCTGTTTGGCATGTTGTTGTTGTTGTTTATCGTTTCTTACATCGCGTTTTTCTAATTTCAACCATGAAATGTTTTTAATAACGTTTTGTTGTTGTTGTTGTTGTAGTTGTTGTTGCTGCTGTTGTTGTAGTTGTTGCTGTTGTAGTTGTTGTTGTTGCACGATCAACTGATCAGATAATGCCGTGTTGCTGATGTTAATGTTATCATAAATACCAGTCACGGTTTTATTATTATTATTATTATTATTATTGTCGTCGTTACTGTTGTTGTTGTTGTTTTTATGGTTGCTTTTGTTGTTGTTGCTTTTGTTGTTGTTGTCAGTGTCGTTGCGAACGTCAACTGCAACAACAACACCTTCCATTCTCTGCGATTTCTCATTGTGTGGTGGGACAGCTATAAAGGACTCCTGGTGATGGTGATGATGATGATGATAATGATGATGATGGTGATAGTGATGATGGTGATGATGACGATGATGATGATGATGATGATGGTGATGATGATGGTGATGATGATGATGATGGTATGTTAACCGTAAATTCAATGACAAATGACTAATGGTAATGATGACGAAGAATATGATGATGATGATGTTAATAATTATGACGATGATGGTAGTTATGATGATAGTTATGATGATAGTTATGATGATGGTGGCGATGATGATGATGATGTTAACGTCGATAATGAAGACGAGCAAGTTCTATCGAAGACAGTA